ATACTCTATATTTACTTGTTTTAAGTGCTCACTTTTTTCCAGCATGGACCGATTTGGGCAAGGAATTCATAGATTTTTCAAGTTAATTGATCTCCCACCAACCATGCCTGTTCTTCTGCAACGTTGGCTCCGACAAAAGGCAACACGAAACTCAGAAAGCCGATTAAACTTCAGGTGAATATCTTTGTAGTTTAGTTTTTACACTTACAGGAGTGTTATGGCAGCGAGATTTTTAATAGCCGGGTTATTGGCTCTTTCACTTCTACAAGCTACCTTTTCCAATTTAGTTTTTAATTTTCTATGAGATTCCTTTCATTGTGTGTGAACAGGTGCTCTCATAATTTTAATCTGGCAGAGTCTTCAGATTTTCAGTTTGTGTTTTGTGCCATCTTCCGAGAGCCCTGTCCAGCTATTCACCTGGCACATGACTAGTGCGAAATGTAGCACTTGATTTTTATGGCTGCTTAACATTTTCAACAATCAGATTTATACCTTTAATGTCAATCTTAAATTAGATACCTTTCTTACAATCCAATCATACTCCCATATGACGTTAATTGTCAAGTCACTCATAGTTTCAGAAACGTTTTAAGCTCTTCCCAGTTCACAATCTCTGAATATTGCTTGATCCGTTTTTAGGGAAATTGATAACTGGAGTTCCTGGATAAGCGATGTTTACAGAAGATCTAGAATCGATCTTGAAAAGCTAGACATTAAATTGGATATGCCAGGTTTGTCGTTATTGTGAATCATGTTCATTTTGTCTTCAAAATTTGAAGTTAATTTTTTGTAGATGCCAAAGGTCGAACCATTCAATTTTGTATCTTTATTTCGTAATTCGTTGTCACTTGTGTAAAAGTTGTTTCATAGTATATCTGCTTATGCTCAATGTCACCTGGTGCTGCCATAAAATGCTCAAACACTTGTTTTGATAATGTCACAAAAACCAAATAAAGTCACACTCAATTTTCTCAGTATCTTCAGTGCCATTTTGGTTTTTACTGAAAAATATATCAAAATAGATTCAAAGCTAACTAGTTGTAGGTACCAAAGGGACGATTTCCAGCTTGCTTTAAGGAATTGAGAGTATGTAAGAATGTGCCTTCTGATCAGATCACTTAGTTTATAGTCTCCTAAATTTTTGCTAGTTGATTTTCAATTGTTCTGTAATTTGGATGCAAACATGAATCGATTCGAAAAGCACTTTGTATTGTTACACACAAAGCCATCATTTTATGGACAGTCAAGCCAATCTGACTGCAATGTGTTTCATAAATTTCTGTTAGTTCATTGGTCGTTTGTGGCAAGACATGATCTAAGCACGATTAACAAACCTGCATATTACTCACTGTCATTGTTTTCTTCGCAGATCTTGGGCTGTTTCTGTCTGCTCCTTTCAGTGATTCAGCCGGCCTTAAAAGGTAATGATTTCATGTTTCATGTCACATAATTTCGTAATATAATACGTTGATTATATTGATGTGGATGAAATGAAGACTTAAGACAACACTCAAAATCTTTCTGGAGTTTTTGGTTCCCTTTCGAAGAAGGCGGCTTAGTCGCGTGATTTCTGTAGAAATGTGCTGGGAAATCGCTTAATCATGACGAAATTTACATACATACTGTACAGAAAGCAAAAAAGGTGTCATCATAAGTGCCTAGGCCTAAGCAAAAGTTCCTATGGTCCATAGGCTCTATGTTTCGTGCGCCTTAGATAATACTGCGCCTCTGCTTGTCCTTGTGTCTAATACGGCCTTAATGTCATATTTGGTAAGTTGCATGCCGTCTTCCTTCTCCCCTTCCTCGTTTGAAAATAGAAACCCTGCAATAATTTTACATAAGGTATCCTTTTCTTTGCAGCTGGGCTGAAGACCTTTGGTTGCATCACTTTCTGCCACAAGTCGAGAGTTCTGTGGAGGAGCTGGTTGCCGAGGCAACCAATACTCAGCAGGACTTATTGATCCAAGTCGCTCTGAACGCATTCTTAAAAGGAGCTTTTTTGCCGGGCTGCCCATGCAAATTAGATATCGGTTAAGTGAGGACTAAATTTTTAGATATTTTAATCGACTCTGCTAGACCTAATGCTGTCTGACCAGGAGGAATGTACTCATATTCCAGAGATTTTGTCGGTGGTCGAAACAGGGAGATTTGATGCTTTCATCAAAAGGAGGGACTTGAAAATTTTATAGAAGAAATGACCTGTCGTTCTCTGATTTCCCTGGTGCAAATCAAGTCCTGTTTCGGATGCCAACACTCTTGTTGTTCATGTGTGTAACACCTTTTGCAATTAGATATTACTTTCACAAAGTTTTTAAAGAGGTCGGAAGTTTGTCATAATGTGCAGGCCTTAAAGGGGGCGTATTTTCGTCAAAATTTTCGTCGCAGAGGCAACATCTTTTACCTTGTTACCTAGCAGTCCAGCCATATGATACTCTGGGTACCAGATCCTCAATAAACCGGGGATAAAGTATTGTAGACCGCTTCGGTGGCAAAGAAGGAAGCTCAAATGATTATTGTTGTTTCCTAAGTGCTTCCAACGGAGGAACTGTATCCCCCCTAGCCCTCCCCTGGCGCCACCACTGATTACACCTTTTAAATACCAAGCTAGGGTCTATTTTCAACTTTGAAACTTATATTGCAAAACTTTCCAAAGGGGGGACATTTCCAATTAGCGCACACCTTGCTCTGGTCCCGACAGTGTCCTCTAAATAGAGAGAATACTGTATATTTCTGAGACTAAATAATGGAGACTCTGTCGCCCAGGGTAGCCATATGAATGTCTACTGACAAAAATCTCTTCATATCCCCCTTCAACCCTTCTTAAGATTTATTGAATTACTTATCTTCAGTTTCATTTTAAGCACTTGTTATAAACTGCCGACTGAATCAAATAAAGTTTTATCTTACTGTTCTTAAATACAAATTCACTTTTTCTAAAACGAAATGTTTAGTCAAAGTTACGTTGCAATTAGTTCTTGCAGTTAACAGCGTCAAAAGATATGTAAATGAAGGAACCCTCGTTGTAAAATAGTGCTGTACCAGAGCATGCTACGTTTCTCGTTGATAAGTATGGAAAAACCACTGCCCCAGTTTTCAACTCTTTATTATTCAAATCTATTTAACACTTAAGGTGGTGGAAAGGGACACTGTGACTCCTGACAAACTCTAAAAGAACATATTGTACTTAACACAGAACGGCAATTGTTGTACTCAACGAGGTCGGAGAATTTTCATTCCACCTTCTGTCGCGCCCTTTCCCGCCCTGTTCACCATTCTATCGACCCGAATCATGTTTGCTAGTTTGGTACATATTTCAACAGTTTTATTGCCACTGTTATCTTGCCTTAAAGCAGAAAAATAATAGGTGTTACTACCAACATTATAAATTTTATTCCCGTCTTTTCAATAACTTAGTAACACACTCAGAAAGATCAGCTACTTGGTTTGAAACTGGTGTGTTTACTGTGTTTTGTGTAAACTATTTGAAAACTTGGTACCCTATTCAGGCGCTGTTCACTCAACCTGAACGATACTTACAGACACGGAAAAGGGAATAAAATAGGAGGGTAAAAGTACCCTTGTCATTTGTCTTCGCAATTATCAAGAACATATATATGAGTTTCCGACTGTAGCAACTTTTTCAAAAACTCGCGTGATTATTTCGTATCTGCTAGAAGTGAGCCGTTCATGCGCTTATCGGAATGGAAATATCATTTACATAACAGTAGAAGCTGCAAATCACTGTTGCAAATTCTTTCCTTATCATGAAGCTAATAGCCATGCCCCTGGACAGTGCCGGTGTCTTCAACGACTCTAGACCTCAAAGATATTCATAAAGAAATACCTAAATAGATTTTCAATGTAAAGTGAGAAACATATTACTTTATCCTCGGTGAGTATTTATAACAAACAAATTTATAACAGTTTAGGTATTGTGATGTACATGGTAAAAATTTGCCTTATCGATTTCATCCAGAAATCCTGTCGTTTTTTGACTCTCTCTTTCTCTTCTGTCGAAAACAAAAAGAAAGTTCTTATGTTGATGCACAAGGTAAGGTAAGAGCTGAAGCATACTTGTAAAGCTTTCCACTGCATCGACCAGTTTCTTAATTCTCGAATACTGAGAAAAGGGACCTTATTTCGATAAGTATTTTGACAAGAAGCTCAAGGGTAAAGGAAAGCGAAAGAATGAAAATTAATCAAAATTATAGGTCCGTGATTAACAGGGGGAGGGGGTCATACCCATCAGTCTACATTACCATTCTTTGTCTCCCCCACCTTCAAACATCACTTTGCCATGCCACATCATTCTAAAGTACCAGGCACCGCGGAGCGTTGAGGAAAGTGGGGTGGTCTAAAGAAAGCGGGGGGGGGCTAAAACCGTATAAAAAGAGGCTTTTCTGGTAGTTTGATACTTGATATTTGGCATTTTTATTATTTGGCATCTTAATATTTGGCTAAAGCCCCCCCCAGCCCTCCCTGCTCCGCGGTGCCCGAGTACCTCAGTGAAGTGAGAAGTCATGCGATTAGGGTCGATGGGACGGTCTTGCTTTTAGTACAATGTGTTTTTGCATTTCACGGGCTACGTTATGACTTGAAGATATACGAAAACAGAACCAAGGTGCACATACTTTGTGTTTATCAAGTTTCAGTAAGCTTTTGCGTTTTCAGTATTGCGTTAACAAGTTAAATCGTCTTCACGTGGCGAAGTAGGCCCACCACACCTTGAATTTCTGATGCCATTTAAACCTGCAAGTCAAGCTCCTGTCATCATGGGGATACAACCAGGAAGGTTATTGATGATGCTGTTGCAAACCCTCTCTGGAAAGACTACATAAATGACAAGCAGGAGAATTGATGTTGCAATGGAGCCTCTGTAGCAAGAATTATCGGCGCCGAGATGGAGTTGTTGGGCATTCCCTGATTATGAAACTTGCATCGTGGAAGAACTTCTCTGCTGTATTTAAGGGTAAGAAAAAGTTGGTAATTCAGAAAATTATTTTGAATATGACTCCAAGAAAATCAAAGTTTTTGAACGGTCCGAGTGAAAGTGGAAGACAACCTCAACGTCGATTATTTGTTTAAATATGATGAATGAGCATAAAAATATATGTAGTGGAGTCAAACTCTTTAACTGCGAAGAAGAACCATAGTTATTTTGAAATGGGAACTCATTGTGTTTGGCTGCGCTAATGACTATTTTCTCCAGGTATTTTGCCGTTCTCGTGCCAGTTTTTGTGTTGTTTTGAGCTTGTCTTGAACTTGGTGAACAGGGTACTCTCTCTCTTTCGGTTGGACTCTCTAGAGAAGTTGTCAAGCAAATTCCCATGAAAATGCATTTCGAAGGTTCACGCCCGAATTTGCAAAAGTTCACGCCCGAATTTGCAAAAGTTCATACCCAAAATTCGCAAAAGGTGACGCCACAATTCTCATTGTGATCAAAATTGAATACATATTTGTTTTCACGCAAAGGGGATTGGATTGCACACATACGTGCTGTTTTCCACTTTTTATCACAAATATAGTCCTTCTAGAAAATCCACAAAGTTAAGAAATTATTGCTTGATATCAAATTCAAACCTTTTCGTCCGTCGTTGATATGAAGGGTTTGGGAGGGTGGGTTGTGCGTGGTGAAATGGTCGAATTCGTTTTCTTTCGAGTGGATTGTCGACCGTTCCGTTTCATCGTGTTTCGTGATCTACAATCTCGGACAAAAATAGTTGAGACTTTTCAGGAAAACTTTATGTTCTTGAAAAATAACTTCCCCCCTCCCCCAATTCAATGTTGAATGCACGATTTTGTAGCAAAAATGATAGAACTACATACAAATCCATCATTGCTTCGGGGGAAAGGGAGGGATTCGAATTTAGAAGGGCAAGGTGGCGTTAACTCAGTTCAGTTCATTTCATTTTTAAAAATCCATACATACAAATCTTTTAAAATACAGCAACAGGTTACAAAAGATGAAATGAATTATATATAATGAGAGAAAGAGAACAAACAAAAAATATATATGATTTTATTAAAACGAAGGAGATTTGAATCCAGAAATTTCTTAAAGGAGGAGCTCTCTCAATAGATAGACTAATCGAGGAGAGAGTACGTCCTGTGGTAAAAATAGTAAGATAGTAAGGTAAAGTAAGGTAAAGTAGAAAAATGCAAAAATTGCATCTTTTCTCAACATTTTTGTCCGGGATCGTAGTTTCAGTTTCAAGATATTCGGTTCCCTTGCAGTAGAAAACACATAAAACGATCGTAATATTGGGCTCCTAGATCTTCAATAGTCTTTCAGTGCACAATTTTCTACTTGTGTCTCTTTAATCGAAGCACATAATTCAGTTTACACTTACGAATTCAAGTGTCAGCGGGCCCATGCTCGAATATATCATCCAAGAAGTTTATCGGACCAAATTGGTCAAACTATATAAGATTTTTTACCCTTGGTACCAAGTATATAACTATATATACCATCAAGATATAATAAGAGAACCATTAGGTACCATTGAAAGAACGGACAGAGTTGGGCGTTGCTATTGAAGGGATTGGTTTGAGGAGTTGGGAGAAGAGGAGACGTGGGGTCCCTTAATAATATACGAGCGAGGAGGGTTGGGCTTTGTTATAAAAGAGAAGGGTCGAATGGGATGACTAGCTTTCTTCAATAAGGTTGGACTATGGAAACTTTTTATGATTTGTTTTTGCAAAATAAAGTACCAACTTTACAAAGCTTCTTAATCTTTCTTGATGTTTATATTTCTTGTAACGCTTTGCTCAACTTCTTTTGCTTTAAAGTCTATTCAATAACTTTGCAAGAGCCATCAAACGTCTGTCAAATTCAAGCCAAAACAATGTAGTATTATTATAATAACACGTTCATAAATATTGCCTGGAATCTTCCTTGATTCTTCAATCAATCGACGTTCGAAATAATGTTGTTAATATAAAATGTAGATTCGTTTTCCGGTCATCTCAGAATGTCAAATTTTCAAAAATTTTCTTGCCGTCAACAATGGTGGCGGCCTTAACCAAACCTTTAATGATGTTACTTTTTGCAACTTCCAACCCACTGTAAACTCTCCACACCCTAAATTGTGATGTCCCCTATCATCGTTCTTATGCTGTTAAGTAATAAGTGATTCTAATTTATGACCGCCTTTTAATTGAAGTATTCCACATCTCTAGCGAAAATTGCCTGTAAATGTCCTTTGTTGCACACACTCACTTTTTTAATAAGAAACAGGCTATAAGAAACGGTAGGCTAAATTTTTTCAAAAGTTAAGGAACAACCCTACCCAAATTGAAAAAAGCTAAGAAACGTTTATAATTTGCAGTTTTAATTTTCCGAGTTGACACTCGAAACAGTCTTGACATTAAACATCACTGTATATTGCAACACTATACTTGACATGCATTTTGCATTAATTCGCTTTAAATTACACACTCACTCGATAATTCCTTGATCACTTTGTTAGTTTATCTCTGAATGTGAGTGAAATATTTACTCTCCATTAGGAGCACGTTTAAAAAATTCATTACCTAAAAAATTTAAGAAACATGTGAGAAACTATTGATAGCAAAATGGCTGGAAAATTTAAGAAAGTGCCTACCAGCACCGGACCTTA